TCCCCTGCAGGCCCCTCATCAGCAGGCGATGGCCCAGGCCCCTGGGGACCACAGGGCTCGAGTCAAAAGAGATGTGAGAGGAATCTGGGAGCCAGGGTCCCAGGAGAAATGAGTTACTGCTGGTGCAGGAGCCGAAGGATGCTCTGACCCACAGCTCTTTCCCCCAGAGCCCTCTGGGGAGAAGGAAGTAGAATGATGCCCCACCCCCACTGCTGACTGTGAGGGAGGGCGCTGACCACCCAAGCTGATAATCCCCTAGCACTCCCCCTTCCTAGCTAAGACTTTGGGTCTGTGGAGACCACCACAGGCTACAGGTGCTTTTGAATTTATTTTTAACTGTTTCTCATGTAGCAACTCCGCCTCCCATCCTGGGCACGTTTACACAGGCTCTGCTCCCTAGCTCTGGCCTGGCTGCAGTCCCTGGGAAACCAGAGGCTGGGACTTTGGGGCCTTAATCACCGCCTTTGGCATCACCACATCTCACTTCCTGTGAGGGGCAGCGCCTGGCTCCTCTGGGCTCAGCACTACCTTCCAGCAGTCTGTATGGGCTCCTCTGCCCCCAGGGTGGGGGCTGCTGGCTGGAGGGCTCAGGTGAGGTCAGAGAAAGCTACTTGACAAAGGATGGTCAGGCTGGGGGGTGACTGCTCCCCAAAGCCTGGCTTCTTGTACTCAGTGCCAAGTCAGAACACTGGGACCTAACTGCCAGTCCTCTTCCTCCCAGGGCCTCAACACATAGTCATGTCCCCTTACCCACCACACCAGCCACCCCATCCTCCCTGGGCATGGCCAAGTTGGAGAGCAGCAGCCCCCAGCCTGGGAGCAGTGATGAAGCCTGGGGCCATGGTTCTGAAGAGCAGGTAGAGCCCAGAGAGTGGCCATATCTGGTATCTGCTCCTCTGTCCTCTCACACCCCACTCCTTCCAGCTTGGACTTGACCTCCTCATTCTGAAATGGGGTCTAATTCTGGACAACAGCATGCCCAGAAGCCCATGTGCCCCTGGGTCTCCTGCCTGGATTGTTTCCTGGCTTAGTTGCAGCAGTATCTCTAGGCCCACCCTCTGGCCTCAGAGTGCAGGGAGGTGTGAGATGGGCCCTGCATAGTGGCTGTGTTGTGTGCCAGAGCTCGACTGTGTTGAAATCTCCACTGCCCTATTCCCACTGAGAAGCCAGTGTGAAGGGCAGGAAGCTGCTCTGGAGTGTGGGGTGGGAGCGGAGAGGTCTGCCCCAGCCAGGCAGGGCTGCTGTGGTGCTAGCTGCAAGTCTATCAGTATTGACTTCTTGCCTCGTCTGGGTGCTCTGGAGTCCCAGGTTTCCCTTCTTCAAGTCTGACAAGAGAAGAAGCCAGGTGTGCTTGGCCCTGGGGACCTGATGATGGTGGGCCACCCCTCCCCTTAGCTTTGTGTTGGGTTGCCATCCTTCTAGCCTCTGTTCTTCTCATATCAGTATTGGCCCCCCTTTCACCTGTATACTTTGTCTCATTCCTATTTTCACTTTCTCCCTGAAAAGAATAAAGTCTCCCCAGCTCTGCAGTATGGGCTGGGTAGAAATTACATGTGTGTGAGCCTTGTCCCCTTTCTTCTGGGAGCTGGGGCTGGAGACTGACCAGAGGAGAGGGGAGCCCTAGACCAGCCACCAGAAAACCTCACAGCCCCTGCAGTCATGACGAACCTTTGGAGCCCCCAGACTGTCACCCTCAGCCTGCTGAAGCCCTCACTCAGCTCTTGTTAATCCTAATCTGGAAGAATTTTCTTGCTGGCCATAAATGAACCCCTTCTCCCTGACACAGGCAGCTGGGCCCCCAGAGGCAAAGTCTGCTCCCAGGATGTGTTCCAGAACCCTGCTTTCCTTCCTAGTCCCCAGCAGTCCATCAGCACAGAGGAGGAGGAATGAGTGTTTCTCCCAGAAGAGGTTATTGCAGGAAACCATGGCAACAGATCTATGTCCCTTCTCAGCAGAGTTCCCAGTACAGAGTCTATGGTGGTTAAAGCCATAGCTTTAGAAAACATCTCTGGTCTCACCCATCGCCCATTCCTCCCCTGCACTGTCCCTCTGGCTCTGGACCTCTTCCCATGCTTTAAGGCAAGCCCAAACAGTTGCAGCCAGACTTGCACAGCAATATCTTTTAGACCCCATGGCATTTTATACGTTTAACCCTTCCCCACTTTTTGGCTCTTTCATTCAGCTTGAGAATAAAGCCTAGGCTTGTAGGAGGTAGGATATTTACTACTTATCCCAGCCAGTCTCTAAAGTACTAACTAAAAGTATAGTTGAGCATGGCAAGAACCCTCATTTTCAGTAGTGTGGTAAGGTGTGGCAACTGGGAAAAGGAGAGGCAGTCCATTGGAATCCATGAACATACTTGACTTAAGGCACCATTCAGTTGAGCCAGTTCTCAGTTAAACACAACATAAACTATACTGAAAAAGGCCCTTTTGATAAAAGTAATCAGAATTTGTGAATAACTTGGATTGTACACCTTACACAAAGGCAGTAATTGATACATTCAAAACGAACTAAATATAAAGAAAGGGCCTTGTGGGTGGGCTTTAGTGAGATGGGCTCATACATAATGGACCCCTCAACTGGGCTTATACAAATAAGGGCTGGGTAAGTGCTGGGGTAAGGGTCTGCAAGAGGCTCACTGTGGACACCGATTGGCCACATTCTTAGAATTAACAGAGAAGTAAATGTCATTGTAGACTCTCAGCAGGCTCAGAACCCAACTTTGTGGGTGGTTGTCAGTAGGTGTGGAGGGGTTACTGCATTTCCTGTTGCCCGCTTTCTTCTAGGCTTGCAGCATGTGCCTGCCTAATTTAGGCACGTGAATACTCTGGGCTGTACCTTTGGTGTGCGGGTGGCACTTTAGAGCCATGAATATGAAGAGGTTAACTTCTGCCACCCTATCCCCCACGAGGATCTGACATCTTGACCACTACTGTGGAGGGCAGTGGTGACAGGAAGCGGTGGTCATACCAAAGACCAAAGCAAATGGCCCAGATGCAGGTTCCCAGGTAATCAATCCTTAGTGTTTGCCAAAAGGGAGAGGACCAGCTGCTGAGACCTGGCAGGTGGAGATGGCCCACCTCAGGACAGGTGGAGGGGTAGCTCTCTGAGGCTAGCCCACATGGGAATTTGCACTCCCTCCAACCCCCAGCCAGAAAGGATTTGGTCATGAGAAAGACCTCCAAGAATTTAAGTGTAGAGATTTCCACTCTTCTCCACAGCTGTCTGAGGCCCCAGGGGTACAGGAACTGACCAGGGATGGGGCAGAAGGCAGGGTTCCCCCTGAAACATACCAAGTTCACATTCTCCTAACCTGGGCAAGATCTGCACCCTGCCAAGCTCGCCTCTGTCCAGCCCTTACCTGAAACAGTTCTGTTTTGCACAGTCACTCAAGAGGGGAGAGAAATGGAGAGGAGTGGCACACCGGGATGAGACTGGGGTACTGCAGGTCAGCTCCCTACCCCTGGTGGAGAGCAGAACAAGTACACCCCTTCTACTCAGGAGAACACAAGAAATACTGCATCATGTAACCAACCAAAAAATTAATCTTATTGGTAGCCACACGAGAGCAAGAACTGGAGAAGGAAAAACAAAAACAGCAAACCAGCAGCAGACTGATTGGTCGTTTTCCTTCTCCCAGGACCTCTACTTGTCTGCCTTACAAGATAACCTGTCTTTCCTGCTCCTGGAAAGGCTATGTTCTGAAGATCTTGGGGTAGTAAGAAATAAAGCAAAGGAAATTCTCAGGTTACCTCTTTGAGATTTCTATTTCCTGAGATGTAAATGTCATAGATGAACACCTGAAACACCTGAACCGCCAACTCCTAGTGCTCCTGTCTACTGACAGTGGCAGGTGAAGCGCTGTGTACATTTAACGTAAGTGCTATGCAAATGTTACCTGACTCAGGCTACCAGGAGGGAAACCCTCCAAGCCAGGAAAGGGGTCTTTGGGGATACACCTCAAAGCTTAGGAGCTATAAAACAATTCCCAGCCTAGGGACCAACTGCCCAGCCTGGCTGGGGAAAACTACCTACCCTCAATTCCTACCAATAATACTCTGGAAGTCTCAGCACATTCCTTGCTTGCCAAAGCTCAAGTAACATAATTTCACATCTGAAAATTCTTTACAAGTGGAAAAGATTATTACTTTAATTTCCATGTCACCAAGATATATGAACTGAAACACAAGGAGGGCTTAGCTTACCCACAGTCACCAGGTGACCTGGCCAAGATGACAAATGGTATTCCTAATCCCTGGCTGTTTTCTTTCCACTGAATCCCCCCAGCCCAGGTGGTTCAACAGAAGCACTCAGGTACCTCTAAATAATTCAGTTTCTCAGACTGATTCAGAGGGGTGAGGTCTGGGATTCTGTTCAGGTAAGGCAGAAAATCAAAGCTGGTTTCAGGGTTTCCCATTGGCATGGTGGACTTATTAGTGCATAAAGAGGTTGGAGGAAGAAAAAAGTATCAGCAGAAGCCCAGGAAGGAAGACAAATCTTTTCAGAAACAGATGGCCCACAGCTCACCCTGACAATACAAGACATTATCAGAAATAGATGCTCAGGAAGAGGCATCTGCCACATGCATCGTGCCTCCAGCAGCTGCCACTGCTTTGACCAGGAAAACACTTCTTGCCCTACTTTTGGCACAGACCTTCCTGAATTCAGTGTGTATTACAGGGAGGTCTGATGACAGCAGATGGAGTAAGAAGAAAATCAGCTGAAAGAGCTATTCTCCTCTAGCTGGCAAAGATGGAGAGAAGAGGGGCACCGCACAGAAGTCAGAGGGGCAGACTTTGCTCAAGCCCTGTTCCTCCCAGACCTCAGAACAATGGGAACTGGCCTGTCATTGCAGGGAGATTACACCACCTTTCTCTGGTCTAAATTTAGGATTTGAGACCCCACCCCAGGATGGGTCTCTTCCCCCACGCCCACCTTATCTCCAGGTCTCATTCTCCCCCATGCCCATTAGGATCCTAATAAAATGACCGACAGTAGCGGGGGGAAAAGATGAACCTTTATTTGGAAAAGAGAGTTAAATGATCATTTAAAATCCCCATTTCATTTCCAAAACAGAAACAAGAAAACAAGGAAAAGATCATCCTATCAAGCTCCTGCCCTCTGCCTTCTTTAGCTGTTTTTAAACTGCATTTCCTGGCAGAAGAGAACAGTGATGGGTCATAGTCCTAAGAACCAATAGGGCACCATCTTGAGACCATCTTAGGAGGTCTCACCCAGGGAGTAAGACAGTGAGTGGTGGGGTGTGGACAGTCAGGCCTGGGGCTCAGACAGGCATATGCCCAGTACCCAGTGTTTAAAAATACACATGCATAGATAAATTCTCCAGAACCTAGGCATGGAAAAATAGTATAAACATGAATGCAGCAGCAGACTTTAAGCTGGGTCTTTGGCTTTAAAAAAAAAAAAGAGAGAGAGAGAGAGAGAGTGAACATTAGCCTCTAGCTAACAGTCCCTAACCCAGCTGCTTGGTTATTCCCTTCAGTCCCATTCAGGAGGCCAAGTGGGACAAGAGCAAGGCAAATCTGCCAAGGGCCAGCTGCTCCTCTGAGTTAAGGGAGATGTGAGGGGGAGCTAACCCAGGAGCACCCCAGCAATGAAAAATTAAGGCATGTAGGTGATACATGTGGGCAAGGAAGCTCCCTGAATGGGCCAGCATACCCGTGCCCTGCGGGGAGGCCAGTGAGCAGCCAAGGCCCTGCTGGCCAGAGTGAATCCGCCAGCACTGCTGCTTCAAGTTCTTGGATGAATTTTGCCTAAGGCTACCCTTCTGCTGAGGTTTGGCCTAAACTAAATACCAGGCTTTTCTAGGGAGAAAATAGAAGGGAACTGGGGAGGCAGCAAAAGTAACAAGTGGTGGGAGGAAGGCACAGAAAACTGCTTCTTAGGTGTGTAGAGGAAAAGAACAGGTCCCTGAGGTCTTCTGAGTCCCAGCTGAGGCAGCTGCACAGCCCCAATGCTCTTGCCCCTACCGGGATTCCCACCCTTGCCCCAGTTCTGCAGGCTATGGAGTCCAGTGAGAGGAGAGTCTCCTGAAGGTTCTTTCTCCTCATCCTAAAAGAGTTTTAAACCTCAAACCACTATCCCAGCCCACTGACCCCCACCCCCCAACAGGGATTGTGTGTATTATTTATGCATTCAAACTTGTGTCTCCTCAGGGCACCCTAGGGAAAGGGAAGAACCCTAGAGAAAGCATCCCAGGCCTGTGGGGAGCTTGGGAAAAGGTGTGGAGGCTGCTGGGCAGGTAGTGCATCCCTGAATCTGCTGTTCCAGTCTTAGGGCCCATTTGTTCCCAGAGCCCAGATGATGAGTATGGCATGATGAACACCTAATGAAATATGGAAGGTGAAAGGAGAGAAGGGCCTATGCCCCTGCTGGTGCCTGGCAGCATACAGCTACCAGATCATGCTCCACACCTGCCTCTAAGCTAACAGCCCCAGTGTGTAAAGTTAGCTGGTCAGAGGAAGGAATGGGTGTACACGCAGAGCAGTCCCACTCCTGGAGGACACATACATGCTACATACATTTCACATATGTGTGCCTGGCAAGAGGGCTGGACCCAAAGATTGTAAAAGCAGGGAAGTCGGGCCAGAAGGTACCACCAAGAAATGGCCTGAAAGCAAATAACCAATGAGATTAATAGGTCCTACAACCCTGTAGTTAGAACTCAAGGGTGCTGGATACATGGAAGGGAGAACCCCCTGCTGCCTCTCCCAGGGCCACCAAGTATGTGGTGCAGGATTAGGAACAGGATGGGGTGGGGCAGGGACCACAGGCAGAGAACATGGATAGGCCTGGAGAACATCTAATCATGGGAAAAAGGGAATGAGGATGGGGGACGGGGAGACGTGTTTCTTGGATGTAGGTTTCCAGAAGTATGGGTATTTCCACCATCTCTGATCCAGTGAACTCTTCTGCAAGAGAAGCACTCTTCCCCTGAGAGCCCCATCATAGGGGCGTGATCTCCATCCCAAAGCTGGCCAGTAGACAGAGGTGGTCTGAAGAGCAGAGGGGGTTGGGTAAGCCATTGGCAGCCCATAGAATCTCTTCAGAGAGGAGGGAGAGACGGCCCAGGAGCTTGAGAGTCCCATCTTTGTACAGCCTGCGATCTGGGGCACAAAGCAGAAGCCAGTGGGTTATGCAGCCACAGCCACAATGCATGGGACAGCCAGGGCCCCAGGAATTGTGCCTCATAGAGGCTGCTACCCCTTGGCTGCTCTACCTTCCTCCCTCATCTCCTCCTGCTGCATCTGGCTGACGCCTCATTTTTCTCAGATACTCCAAGATGTATCAAGAATGAAGCAGGGTGGTTTCAGGAGGACTGTGGCAAACTAGAGAATATCCCAGGCCCAGTATTATAAGATCTTCTAATTTTATAATAGGAGATTTATTTATAGAAGCTATAAATCCAGATTTTCTACATAAAATCTGATTCTTAAACATACGCAATCAATTCAAACATTTTAAAAGACATGCTTTAAATAAAATGGGCATGGGGCTGGTGGTCTGCTACACCATGACTACCAGTATAGGATGAGGAGACAGGAAATAGGGTTTCTGTAACCTAACCAAGTCCTTCACTAACCAGCTGCTGCTAAATAAATCCAATCACTTCCAGGTGCTCTATTTTTAACATCTAAAACAGAGGTAGGGCTTGTTCTGCCTCTCAAATGCTACAAGGATAAAGAGAAGGCAGCAAGTGGCCTAAGGGGAGAATGATGAGGATGACCAGTGCCAGGTGGTATGAAATCTGCTCCTGTGCTGGTCAGGTCCCAGAAGCCTATGCCATGTGACCAAATGCCTACCATCAGCTATTCCCAGGGACTTGAGGGGTGACATTTAGGAAGTCAGGACCCACCAGGCTTACCAGTTCTGTTCTCATGGTCACAGGATTCAGCTGAGAAAAAGATGTAATCTACTGTCATTCCAAGACCCAGGGGCATTGTGGTGACCTCTGGGCGTCCATGCTGGGGCAGGAAATGAGTATACACTGAGGTCAGGTGAAGGCAGTGCTGAATGGTGCCTTCAGTCCTACAGGGACAGAGGGGAAGATGTTAGCAAACATTATTAAACTTTTTCCAAGGTCATTTTCTCTGTTGGTTTTATGAAATTTTTAAAGAGATGATCTTGAGTATCTCAAAATCTAGCAAATTCCTTCCTATGCTAGTAAGAGACTGACAGTCTTACCAAGAGTTAGCCTACAAATACACACATTTATTTTCAGTTCCCCTGGTATTCCTCATCTCCCACTCTCCTCTTGCTCCCTGTATATATCAACATATACCAAATGTACCCCTGTCTGTGGGTCATCAAGCTCTTCTGTGAGGTCTTATTCCCTGAGGAAAAGTGCATAGGCTTTTTATGTGCAAGAATCTGGGTGTGTCACCACTGACCTCTGCACACCTGTATGCCCTCCATAAGCTTAGCAGGTATTAGGGGAAGAGGGAGCTTGCAAAATGTGCTCCCTGAAGTCAGCTCCAGGAAAGCCAATGGGAATCTCTGTCATATACCTAGACAGGGTCTGGAATGCAAGCTGAAGGGAACTGAAAGGAAGATTACCTGGGGAAGACAGGCTCAGGCTCAGGCTCAGGCTCAGGCTCAGATGTGTCTTCCCCAAGGGCAGGCTTGGCCCAGCCTGCAGGCCACTCTGTAGAAGATCAGAGAGAAAAGGTTTTATTATTCACAGACAGTGAGGAAGGGGTCAGAACCTTGCACCCTGAGATCCCTCAGATTTCTGACTAGACTGCTCCAGAAAGAGAAATAGAAAGAGGAAAGGTGAAGGGAAGAAGAAAACAATAGGCCAAAATCAAGAATCTCAGGAAGGCAGGCAGACAGAGGCTTCTAACATAAATATTTCTTCCTTGGCTCAGCACCTTTTTAATTTAAATTTTTTCTTTAGAATAGGTAATACAGCATATGGTACAAAAATCAAAGTGCAGAGAAAAAGACCAGTGAGAAGTCTCCCTCTCACTCTAGAGCCCCTGCCACTCAATTTCCCTCTCCAGAGGCATGTAGAGTTACAAAAGTCCTGGTATGTTCCTCCAGAGATCTTCTATCCACTGTGTGCATATGTATGTATGTGTGCATGCATATACTATGTGTGTATACACATGTTTACATACACGTGCACATACATGTACACTTACATAAAGAAAAAGATACACATGACCAATATCAGGAAAGAAAGAGGAGACATTACAGAGCCTACTGACATTAATAGTGTTATGGACTGAATACATGTGTCTCCCTGAAATATACTGAAATCCTAACCCCAATGTGAAGATATTAGGAGGTGGGGACTTTGGAAGGTAATTAGGTCATGAGGGTGAAATCCCCATGAATGGGACTAATGCCCTTATAAAAGAGGTTTCTCTTGCCCTCTTTCTGCCATGTGAGGGCAGAACAAGAAGTTGGTATTTTATTATAACAGCCCAAACTGACTAAGACAACAAGATAACAAGAATCAACAAAACCGACAAACTCTTAGCTAGACTGATCAAGAAAAACAAGAGAGAATTACCAAACCAAAAATGAGAGGGGCCATCACTAACAACCTTACAGGAAAAAAAATTATGAGAATATTATAAACAACTGTATACCAACAAATCAGATAACTTAGATGAAATGGACAAATTCCTAAACACATAAACTACGTAAATTAATCTAAAAAAAATAGAAAATCTGAATAGGCCT